CGTTGAGTCTGATCACGCATTATTTCTGATGCAGTTCACTCTCCGACTGACTGGTTGGCGACAAAATCAGCAAGCTCGGATAACTCACCAACGACTATCTGTTCCAGCAGTTCATGCACTCTATGAGTCAGAGCTAGTGCGTCAGCTAAGTGCGCTTCAGCGTGGTGATGTAAACGAGCAGTGGGATCAGATTAGACGAGCAATGTATTCCGCAGCGAATGTTGCTTGTGGGTCTGAGCCTCAAACCCATCGGATGCATTGGATATCTCAGGGACTCAGTAGCCCTGATGGAGCAAAAGTGGCAAGTCCCGACCTGCCAGGATCAAAATAGAGTGAGGTGGCAGCTACAAAGTCGGCTCACGAAGAGCCTCGAGAAGGACCGTGAGAACTGGTGGGCAACAATAGCTAGTGAAACGGAAGTAGCAGCTGCATCAGGGACTAGTCATAGAATGTTCCGACTGATACGCAATACGGGAGGTTGGCGAACCCGTTAGTGAAACAGTCTGCGATAAGAAGGGACAAGCTATTCACAATAGGGATCAACGACTCGATCGCTGGGCAGAATACTTCAGCGAACAGTTCAGTTGGTGCTAGTGCTAACCAGGCTGCTTCATTTCCGACTGAAGCTCCGTGGGCAGTCATGCGGTCCTCCAACGGAAGCGGAAGTTCGGTCTTGCATTCAAGCTCTAAAGCGAGGAAAGGTGGCAGGACCTGACTAGCTCCCTCCCGCTCTTTTCAAGGTGGGAGGTGATAACCTCGTAACCTCTATTGCTACGTTACTGCGCAACATTTGGATGCAAGAGCACATTCCTTTATCTTGGGACTAATCACTGATCGTTCCCATTTTCAAGAAAGGATCCTGCAACGATTGCGAAAACCACCACGGGATCAGTTTGATCCCGATCGTCACCAAAGTGCTAGCTTCGGTCATACTTCGACGTCTGATGCCTTTAAGAGAGACCAACATCCGTGAACAGCAAGCTGAATTCCGGCCTGGCCTTGGATGTATTGATCAGATTTTTACGTTGCATCAGATCCTTGAGCTGCGTCATACCCACCGTCGGCCAACGATCGCAATGTTCCTTGACCTGAAAGGAGCCTTCAACCCAGTTGACCGCAAAGCTCTGATGGGCTCCCTTCTTCGAAAAGGAATGTCCCAGAAGTACGTTAACCTACTGAGGTCACTGTACTCACATACCTCCGGTCGTGTATGGGTCTACAACGAACTAAGTAAGCCGTTCGTCACCAGCAGCGGCGTTCGTCAAGGGTGCCCTCTTTCGCCGTTCCTTTTCAATTTCGTCGTAGATGAAATACTGGAGAGCGCACTAAGGGGACCCCAAAACGTAGGTATTGAGTGCACAGCTAGAGAAAAGCTGTGATTTGGAGTACGCCGATGATATCGTCTGTCTGTTCGAATGTGTGGAGGACGCGCAAAGCGCACCTGATAGGCTAACAAGTGCAGTATGTGCTTTGCACCTTCAAAGTGCCAAGTGATGCTGCAGGACTGGGTTTCGTCTACTCCCGCTCTGAAACTAAATGGTCAGGATTTAGTTATGGTGGATTATTTTTCCTACTTAGGTAGTTGCGTGACCAATGACGGTAACGCAGCAAAAGAGATAACCGCCCGCATTTTCAAGGCTCGAGCAGTATACGCAGGTTTAAAACACCTTTGGCGTAGACGCGACGTTTCACTGAAATTGAAAGGTCGTGTATATTGTGCCACCGTTCATTCAGTTCTGCTTTCTGGTTGTGAGACCTTGAATTTGCGAGTAGAAGACATCCGTCGACTATAAGTTTTTGATTATCCTTGTTTACGCAGTTTAGCCCACGTTGGATGGAGCGAACGGGTTAGTAACGTGGAGGTAAGTCGTCGTGTGTTCGGGAGTCTGTCAGGTATAAACCTGCTAGCATATCGAATTCAGATTATTAGGCTTCGCTGGCTAGGGCACGTATTGCGTATGCTCAGCCATCGCCTGCCGCACCGCGCTTTATTCGCTGTGGCTAATCCGGGTTGGAGGAAACCACGTGGAGGTCAACAGATGACGTGGAGACGAGGCATGCAGAAATGCATAGCCATTAGGTATAGTAGGTGTCTTCCATGTTGGGGTCCGAAAGACTCCACAACTGGTTGGTTGGAGACATTAAAGGATATGGCAGCGAATGGGCAGCAGTGGCGTTCTTGTTGTTTCTTATCAGGTCAGAATGCTTGAAACGGTATGTATGCAGAATTCGATTGTGTCCTCTGTGTGTTGACCATAGTGGCTCATCTTCTTCTCCTTCTCTCGAAATAGATCCAAATCGCTGTCCACCTTAAATTTTACCACTAACCTTGTATGCATTGCGAGCTTGGCAGCGATCAGTGAATTTCGCCTCACTGTATTTCGATGTACGACGATGATGATGATGCAAGGCGCCACATGCACTAGATCCAATCGAGTACAAAAAACAAATGCTTCTCAGTATTGCTTTCTGAATTTTTAGTACAAATTCGTCTCGGGATCTAAATGTTTCAGTCTAAATTCCAACCAAACATCCATCTCCACCAGCTTTGCGAAAAGTGTTACAAGAATTAAGGCAAATCATGATTTTGACTCGCACATCTTTCGCCATGTCATAGGCTGTTGAGACACCCACTCGTCGATCCAGAATTGAGGAGCTATAGTTCATTAATACTCTTGCTAAGTGCTTCCCCAAGGAAACCTACAATTTTAAGGTGGTTAGTCGATTTTTCAAAGCTAAGTGGCTTAACACTTATGTGTTCCTTCAACTGCACGAACTACTTAAGGAATATTCCCGTCTATAATTCAGCGACCGAGCTCTGGCATCGCCAAATATCTTCTTCAGTAAGCACTTTTCATACGCCTTCGAAAGCCTCATTATGGTCGGGGGTTGTTGTCTTGGATTGTGTCTGATCACCCTGCCCTTGAACCTCACGAAATGCTCCTATACGACCAAGCGTCTCAGATAGCCTCTCATGTAAAAGCCCTACTCGTTGCCCTCCCCCCCCCCTATGGCTGAGGTATTTACCCACCCAAATGAGCGGGAGGAATGATAACATCCAGGTCTATAACTGTTTCGGTGAACCGCGGGCAGCTCACCTAGGGAAGATTAAAAACCTCGATTCCAAACCATCAAAGAGGTGGTGTACAAACCACCCATCCATGCCCTCTTGGTTGTAATAGTGGTCATCGACCCACAATAGATTACGGTTTTCACACCTCCCCTCAGGCTTTGGTCGGTCGAAGGGCCCGGTTGTGAATTCCGCAAGAGGATTCATTTTCTTTGACCTGTGCAACCTAGCAGTATTCTATTTACAAGCGAGTCGTAGTTTTTTATTTTATAAATATTATTATGCCGTGGTCTGTTTGGCACAGTTCCGATCCAGATGATGTGTACATACATTTAATAACGCGTCAAATGTGCTGTATCTGTTCTTGTTGCTCGCTTATCAAAATCCACTGACTTCCATTTACAGCTCATAGTTTGTTGGCAATATAACTATGACGGAATTCGATCCAGTCACCGATTTTCTGACACGCGAACAGGAAGCTCTCGGTGAATTAGGGCCTGAAATTAACTTTCCCAACCAGCCTGATGTATTTGCTAATGAGCCTACGGAATCACAAGAGAACGGTGGATTTGTATTTCTAAACGGAGAACAAAAACAGGACAACGCACCTTCACCCCAACCGTTTGAGGATGCCTACCCGCAACACGCAACCGGTCCGAACTATCAGCTCTCCAACGGCCTAACCGGTTTGAATGAAAACACGAACTCGGTCTTCACTGCTAATTCTGAAGCAAATGAAACGTGGAGAAAAGAGTTCAATGAGCGGGTCGCTCAAAAGGATGCCGCAGAAGAGAAATCGATGGCTGAACTAAAGGAGAGTGGACAAAAGGTAAACCGGTTGAACTCTCTGTATCAGTCGATTTGTATCCATCACCATGGCTGTTTAGTATCTTCTTTTTCACAACCATAATGCAATTTGAGGTCAAGTAAAGATTTGGTAAAGATCTTTCTTCGGTTGGGAAGTTTCAATAACAAGGTCTCAGGATAACCTGCCAACATCTTTGGTCATGACTTTGAACAAATGCGCTGGTGAAAAAGCACTCGAAAATCGGATAATGCTAATGTTGTACAAAATATTCCGTGAAGAGAATATATCTAACAGATCCGTTGTGAACTTAGTCTCCCTCCAGAGACGTGAGTTATTGTAATCGATTGATTTATGAATTACCTGAAGTATTAGGGCCAAAATTAAAAAAAAAACAGAATTTGGTAATTTAGTTTATGATGCAAAGTGAACTTTTGCATTTACTACTTGAGCTATGGAGAGTACTGTGAATCACCTTGCAATTATTAAGTGTAAATTTCAGCTTTCAAAAGTGTTCGTCTCTCCCGACACACTGCTTCGAGTTCACCTAAATCAATACAATACCTACCTACCTGCCATTCTTGTTTCACACAGTTCTTCACGTTAATTGTGTAGCCTCGTAAGCAGATGACCAGTTTTTTTTCCAACTTGCAGTGAAATTTCTACACCGTTCGGCTGGCGTATTTGTACACGTTCTTGTTTGAACTTTGCACATTGTAACATTTTGCTCACACCGATTTCTGCGATTTGAACCATAATATAGATTTTCCACTTCATTCTCTCTTTCCCCTGTCCCTCATTGGGTGCATGAGGCGAAGGGCTGATCCCGAAAAGCGGACCGATAATCAACGCACCAGCGAACAACCAACTTAACCGAAATTCAAAGGCCTTGCATGACAGGTCTCTAGAAGCTCCCACACGGATGCTTTGTTCTCGCTCCCGCGTTGGATTCACGCCCCACTGCCTTGTGGGTCAGACTTTTGAGTCAAAGGCTCCGGTTAGGGTTCCCAAAGAAAACCCCCTTCGTCGGTGTGAGCTGCCGCGAAGTATGCCGTGTCCTAAAGTCTTAGGGACTCATTTGAAAAACCATCTTCCCTCTCCCTCAACTAAACCCTGATTCTTTTGCAGATATCACAACAACCGCAGTTTCNCACCAGCCATACCTCGCATCTGAAATGATGTGGAATGATTGTAGCTCAGGATGCAGATGTTGGTGTTGGTGAGTTCTCCGAGCTGACTGTTCTGTGGTACTCCCCCTCCCCTCTTGACGAACATAGCTGAATAAAGTTCGCCACTCTTGGGAATTTTATCAATACTAAATTATCACACCTACACCCTCGACTGAGATGACTTTTGTTTGACTCAATATGGAATCATCCACTCTGGTGAGCAGTCTGATTCAGTCAGTCAAGCGATCGATTTCTTCGTGCATATGTGAACTAAACTCACACCCTTCAGCTTGTCTTTGTTCTCTTATCTCACTCCTTTGTATTGTTCTCTCCGTCCACACTACCCTTCTCTGATTTTTCCTNCCACCCAATATGCACCCTCCCCCTTCCTTAACGTCTTGTACAAACTACTTGGGTTTGGCATACATTTCTCGAGGGTTTACATCACTCTTATTATTTTCGGTTTGTTATAAAAGGGGAGGGGAGGGGGGGGTGCTTGTTCGCCATTTTGTTTTCTCTTTCTCAATACCATGGGTATATGTGGAAGCAGATTATTTGGACAAGAAATCATTCATTTTGAATTTGCACGATCACAATGTCAGTTTGTACGATACCAGAAAGCGGTGGTCAACACTGTCCAAACCACATTTAACGTGTACCAACCTCTTTCTGTGCATTTTCGCGCCTATACCTTCACTTCATTGTCTCATCAAGCGAGTTAAGAGACACTTAACATATTCAGCACATCTTTTCTCCTTCCTCATACTCCATTCATTGGTAACAGGAATTGGAAAATTGGTACAAGCACTATCAAAATCAGTTGAAAACTCGTGCCCAAGAATTGCGTGAAAATACGGATTCGGGGACCGAGAACGGGGACACTTTTGGATCAACAACAACGAAACCGACAGTTGGAGACAAAGAGGTCTGGGAAAGGGTCTGTGATATGTGTGACTTTCAGGTTAGTTTACGNCCCCCCCCCCCCCTTATGGACTACAATCACTCACGTCCCAGATTTTCTGTGCAAGTTCTTGACAACTCTCACGTAGAATAATGAATGCATAATGCTGCATCTTTTCCATGTGTCTATTTCATTTCAAAGATTGCTGTTTATCTTTACCATTCAGTTTGTTTCACTACGCGGTTACGTCTGAGAAATCGACAAAAACTTCGAAGACAGCTGATATACATGTACCTCCTGCACCGTAATATGTTAAGAAAAAACGTTTTTGGCTTAATATATTCGGATCAGTTCTTGTATTTGTGTTTGAACAGGCCCTTCTGGGCTCAAAAATCGATGATATATCGATCGGCAGGGGAATAGCCAGTAAGTATAAAGCCCGGCTGTCACTCCGGTCAATATTTGCTTTGCACCTCCCTAGTGCAGAAGGATACTGCAAGATTGTCGTTTGTCTTCGCTCTGATAATTTGTGGTTATGAATTAACTAGTGAATTGTCTCTCCTTAGGCGGGTACGTGATAAATGACGGTAGCACAGTGCTCAAGGCTCAAGCGCTGTACGCACAATTAAATCACCTTCGGCATCGAGGTTACGTCTCCTTGAAATAGAAATTTCGCTACGCGATCTGTTCTGCTTTACGTATGTGAGATCTTTCGTTTACGCGTAGAAAACATTCATCCGATGGTTGTCTTCGATTGTCAACGTTTACATATTTTGACACACGTGCGTTGGATTGAGTCGGTTAGGAATACTGAGGTAAATAAGACTCGGTGCATCTAATCCCAATTGTGAATTTCTCAAGAAGATCCATCTGCTTTGGCCTGGGCAACCTAGTGATATCGCACCCACGAGCAAATCATGGATTTTTTCTCACAGCTTACTGTACTATGATTTGTTTGGCATGCAGTTTGAACTGAGAGGATATGGGAGTGATTCGGTAGACCATCACATCCGATTCAGATTAGTGAACTCCCCTGCTTAGGACACGTATTGCGCATGCCTAGCTGCCGCTTATCGTACCTAGCACTTTTTGCACATATTGCTGTAGGATGGAGGAAATAACGCGGAGCGGATTACATAAAAATGTGACATGATGAAATGTGCAGAAAGACCGCATAAATGAGATGTTTCACATCTTATAGATTGTGATATAAAGAGCCCTATAACCGGTTAGTTGCAGACATTGAAGGAATAGCATCCGTCCGTCAACAATCGCGGTCTTTCTATTTCTTATTAGGTCAGGTTGTGTGTTGATGCTGTCGCCTAAGCTCGAATTGATTGTTCTTATGGAAATCAGTACCTTTCAGTTGGAGAGATTGGATCGTGTCCCTAACAGACATTAAACCTTATGAGCTAGAAGCCAGGTGCGCTTTGAGGCTTTCTGTTGTTTGCGATTGGTCGACTTCACTTGTTTTCGTGATCGTCTTGCTCGTCCCGGTATTTGAAACATGAGAAATTGTTGATATTCTGTCAAATTATTAGTTTTCATGGAGTAGTGCTTTTGTAAAAAATCTCAGTTTCGACTGGTTTATCGGCACAGTTGAATGCTGTCTTGCTCATTGCTGCAGTTCTCTTGATACAGATTCGCTTGTTCATACNTTCATACTTGTCGATTTCGGTATATCAGTCAATTTTTTTCTCCATTCCTGTGATTTCATCAATTCCACCACACCCTGACCTACCCATTTCTAGCAAGGAAAACAAAAAGCAGTGCCAGACATGACTCGAATGCGCAGTATTCTACTGTCCCTGAAGCCATCAACCTAACTCGGTGTTGCCTTATTTGTTTGCGCTCGTCTGTAGCGGTGTGCGCCTTTGCTCGACCAACTATCCCGGGCTCCTCGAGGGCCCCCGACCATTCGTGTTGCCGCCTTCTGGGCTATCGCCTTCATCAACCAACCATTTTTGCATCCGTACGTTTATCTGTTCACAAATTGCCTTTTCATTGTGCCCGTCCTTCC